GAATTAAGAAGCTACTTACCCATCTGTCTGTATGATTTTAATATTGTTGTACGAATTAAAAAGCTACTTACACAATACAAATACTTGATTTATTTCAATAACAAGTAGATTTGATTGGTTTGTCACTACGGAATTTCAACTTGAAACTTGATTGTTAACACTGACAGATGGTTGACACTACTCATTTTAGAAAAGCTCACAAGGAATAATTGTTTAAAAAGAAGTAACTATTTCTATAACGTTCCAACAGTTCATTAATTAAACAGTATAAAGAAATAATTTTATATACAGACAGAAACTATTTCAGATGGCATTATTTCTCAGCATTTGTTTGCTTTGTTTTTGAATTTCTCACAAAGATATTCAAGGGCTATCTGCGCTAGCCGTACCTAATTCTGAAATGATAAACTGGAGGGAAGGTAGCAAATCAACACCACCCACTGCCAACTAATTCTTGGCAAAGAATAGTGGGATTGAACGTCACATTGTAATGTCCCCATTCCTGAAAGGGCGAGCATGTCCGGGGACAGGATTTGAAGTTCCGACCCGCATATTGAGAATTGAGCGTTCTAACAACCAGGCGATGTGAGGCCTTTTCTTAGTAGTTAAATGATTTGAATCAAACTTTACGTTTAGATTGTAGCAAGTTTTCACGACGAATTTGTTTTTCAATCAACTTAGAAATAATAATTCTTAAAATTCTAAGTTAATAGATTATTTTTGTTAGAAAGTTTTAAACTTAAAGTAGTTGCTGCAACTAGGAGGCTCAACGGTATGACGCTAAAATTCGGGTTTCGATACTACCGGTGGGCAGAGCACAGATAGACCAGTTTATAAGTTTGTGCTCAATAACCAACAAACAAAAAAGTGACTGCACGGTACAAACAATATCTGGTGTCTTTCCCAATATAAAATAATTCATTAATTTTTGTTTGTTTGTAGTTAAGCTCAATGAGCCCTGTTGTTCCCCAGCACACGTATCAAAACCCAGTTTTTAGCGTTATAAGCCTTCATACTTGCCGCTGTGCCAAGTTTAATCCAACTTATTTTTATTACAGATAATTAATTAGTATATCAACAGTACCTAATTATTTGTTGATTTTATAAACATTAGGAATAAGCAACAACAACAAAACACCCAACAACAACAAACAAACAACAACAACCCCGCAAAACAGGAGAAAGTGAGAGCAATGATTATGGTTCTGAAATTCATTTGTTTAAGAGAAGTTCTTTAATGTGCTTAACGTCTATTTTTCTTAGATACAGAAATGGATGTCCGTACTTGTAAATACGAGAATACAACGTTTCGTCTGTTAGTCTGTCATTGAAGATTTTTTTCACAAAGCGGAACTAATATGGCCACTTGGACTATGACGTCTTGTTTGAAACGTTATCTATAACAGCTCTTACAAAAGAGTTTCGACATCGCTTGTTTTAGAGCAAATACACATTGGGAATCGAACCCCGGAGTTTAGTGCTGTAAGTCCGTAATCTTACCACCATCCCAACGGGGGACATTTTGGGATAGAGTAATGCTATTCTAAGATTTTTTTGATTTTTTTA